TCCAGCATCTGTCCCATTGCCCTGCCAGGGAGCAGGGTCCCACCCTCTTCCCCGTCCCCCACCCCTAGCCGCCAGGTCCTGCTGGCTCTCTTTCTGGAATCCACAGCCTCCACGCCCAGGCTTTGCAGCTGTCCCCAGAATTATGGCAAAAGCATCCCTATCAGTCTCCCTCTCCCAGGCCTCGTCCCTCCAACCCCTCCTCCACGGGAGAGCCCATGGCAAAGAAGGAGGGGCCAACCTCACAATTCCTTTCCTGGAGAAAAGCATATGGGTTGGTCTGGGAAGCCGCTGGAAGGGAAGGTTACAGGCAGCTGTAGGCCATGGGTAGATGGGCTGAGGCAAAGAAACAAACAGAGCTGTCCTGCTCTGAGCAAGAATGGACTGGCAGACGTGTCTGGGAGTACCCAGAGAAGGGGGTGACCCAGTGCCCAGAAGCTGACCTCTTGATTGTAAGCCCACTAAGGGCTGCCCCTTAGGAGAGCCGGGGGTCTGGGAGATGTCATAGCTGGTCAGCACCGAAAGAGATGAAGATACAGATGGAATGGCCTTACCCCCCAAAAGTGATGGGAGATGTCTCCCCACCCCCCACAGTGAGAGGGGCTCTCTTTGGCCTATGGGAGAATATCTGAGCCCAGAAAATGACCATAAACCCCAACCGAAAGGCTGTCCTTTTAGTCACTTCTCTAGGGCAGAAAAAACTCTTGGAGACATTTGAAGGACCACCAAGCGTTTAGTGCAGAGAAGGTAAGAAAGCATTCAGGCAGGTGAGAGGCGCTGCTCGACCTGCAGCCTGGTCTCCAAAGCCTCATAGGACTTGTAGGGAGCATCTTAAGCAGAGGGCCATACTCGGGGGCGGGGGGGCGGTAAAGTGGGTTCCTGGCAGCCCTCGCATGCCTGAGGCCTTGACGTGCTGAGGGCCAGGACTGCAAGCTGGCAGACCATGGGGTCTGTGCATGCTCAGACTTGCTGGGGCCAGGGGGCCTGTCGGGAGCCAGCCTGGAGCTGGTGACCCAGCGCAGCTGGACAAAGACCCCCTTGAGGGAGGGTGGGCCAGATGGAGCCCAAGGCAGAAGGTCAATGGGAGAAGTGATTTCAGACAGGACAGAGGGTGTGGCCGCTCGTCCTGCTGCCAGAGGGTCTCAAGAGAGAGCTGTAGGTCCCCGCAGACCAGCAGCTTCCTGTGGGCACGCCAGAAAAATCCATCCTGAGATGCAGAAAGTGTTTTCCGTAGGCTAGAGAGAGAAAGAGCCTATCCCAACGCTTCTGGGATAGGCAGTGGGGCTTCGACCATGGGGTAGGGCCCCTGCCTTATTACAGGAGCGCGGTGGTGATCACCCACCCACCTTGCATGGCCCCAGATGCTATTGCCAGACAGTTGTGTTTACTCCTGGGCTGGCTGTAAGAACAACACCTTTCTACCCCCTGTAGGTGAGGCTGGGATGGGGGGAGGCAAGACGGGCATCCCCAGAAGTAGACCCAGAAACCAGGACTGAGGACAAGCCATTTAAGTGAGAGGAGATCTCACGAAGCACCGGGACAGAGGGAGGAAGGTCGGGGAAGAAGGGAAGGAACCCAGGGAGGTGTGTCCATGAGCAGGCGGCCGCGGTGGGCAGCGGGGGCTCCATCCCAGTGGGGGCAAGCTCAGAGTTGTCCCGATCAATGAGGGAAGACCTGGGATGCCTTACTGGTTGAGAGCTGCTCCTGAAGCTGCATTAACTCCCTGGCGCTCTGGACCTGCCCCTCACGGAGGCTGAGCGGATCCCACAGCCAGAGACGCAGATGTCTGCATCCAGGTCTACACATTATGTAGGCATGGTGTGTGCCAGGCGGCTCCAGGCAGGGCATGGCAGCATCTCTCCAGCGGAGGGTACAGGTAATTATGAGCTGATGGGGCAAGTGTCCTAAGCCAGGTCCAGCCAGGCTTCTCGGCGTGGAGCACAGAGAAGGGAGCGCGCCCTGCCCCAGCCACGCTGGGCAGCTCCTGGAGGCGGCCGGCAGCTTCCTGTCCTCTGACCTTGGCATGGGCTGTGTCCTCGGCCTGCAACGCTCCTTCCCTCTTTCTCACTCTGACTCCTGCTCACCCTTCTGGACTCAGCCCTAGTGGCACTCGGTGCAGAAAGCCTTCCCAGACACCCCACCTGCTCCCGGCTAGGCTCCTGCCCTCACTCTCATGGAGCTGACTACCTGTGTTGCCATGGCCTGGTCCTTTGACCGTCTTGTATCAGTCAGATGAGCTGTGTAACAAAATACCACAGACTGAGGGCTTCAACAACATTAATTTGCCCTCACAGATCTGGAAGCTGGGAAGTCCGAGATCATCTGCCAGCAAATTTGGTTTCTACTGAGAGCTCTCTTCTTGGCTTGTAGATACCCGCCTTCTCCCTGTGCCCTCACATGGCCTTTTAGGAAACTTTCTTCCTCTTCTTATAAGGCACCAGCCCTATCAGACCAGGGCCCCACCTTTATGACCTCATTTAACCGTAATTACCTCCTTCTAGACCCCATCTCCAAATATAGTCACACGGGGGGTTAGGGTTTCAATGGGTGGATTTGTGAGGAATGCAATTCAGTCCATAGTACATTTCCCCCGTGGGTTTGTGATCAGTTCTTGAGGTCAGGGACAGTGTCTTTTTCATCTGTTTTGTCATGCATGCCCAGCTCAGTAAATATCTGTGGATGAACTAGGCTATCTGGATGGAAAGAAGAGTGCTAACAGTTTGGGAAGGGGGGGGGTCATATCATGGAAGTCTTTGCAGAGAAGATAGTGTCTCTGCTGGGTATTGAGGGATGAATAGGAGTTTGCTAGACGGGGCATTCCAGGCAGAGGAAAGAGCCTTTGCAAAGGGTGGCACTGTGTGTGGGAGGGAAGAGGGAGGGGCTGCTTAAGAAACAAGGGTAATTGGGGAGGAAGAAAGAAGAGTGTGTGGAGGGAGCCGGTGGCCAGGTGATGCTTGTGAAGGAGTCAGGGAACAGCCATGGAGGTCTCCCCCCAGGGAGGTCTCCAGGCAGGGGATGGCATGGGCGAGTGTGTGTTACAGGCAGATCGACAGGATGGACCAGAGGGAATGATGGGGCACATCGTGTCAGAACAGAGAGATGTTTGGGGGGCAGAGTCAGAAAGGGCTATCAGCAGGCAGGGCTGCTGAAGGGAGCTCTCGGGAATGACGTCCAGCTGAGGGATGCTCTTTGGACCTCAGGATTCAGGCAGAAGGAAAGGGAGCCTCTATTATTCATGAAACCTAGTTTGGTAATATCCCAGCAGCCTCTGGAGGCCACCAGGGTGGCACTGATGTCCTTCTTTGTTAAATTTGCAGCAGGTGTGCTGGCTAGGGACGCGCCACCCCCCCAGGAGGGGCTGTGCTGGGTCCCAGAACGCCTAGCACAGGTGGGCTACCTCCCCGACCCCAGGGTTTCTTCCACGGGAAGGTGGGGGTTGGGGAGGGGGGATACAACGGGGATGGAAACTAGCTCTGCAGTGATCCAGCTCTCACTTAGGTAGTAGATGGGTTTCCCCTCTGGAGGGCAGCCTGGGGACTAAGGACCAGGCTGGGGTCAGCACAGCATCCAGACAGGCCCCCGTCTCATTACCAAATATTCCAACCCTGTCCCCAGGTCGCAGAGCACGGCGATAAAACCGTCAGCCCTCTCAGCTTTACAGGTGGTGGACGGAAAGAGTCAATAGAGGCCAGTGTGGGGACGGCAGGTGGGCGCGATGAAGCCCGGCACAGCCGGGGTGCGAATTTCCTACAGAACCGGCGAGGGGCTTGTGTGACATGGGGACTTCTGAAATGAACCCAGAAGGTAGAGAGGGGCCTTGCCTGGGGGGGAGGAGGATGTGTCCGGTGGGTGGTCCTTGGGGGCTGAGCAAAGTGCGCCCATTTCCGACTTGCATAATGGAGGGTGCATAGAGTTGTGACATTTACCAAGATGGGCAGACGGTGTACGTGTGGCCCGGCTTTCGGGGGGGAAACCCTGAAGTTCACAAGCGCCATTACGTTCACTGGGGTGAGACTAGAGAATGCTATAGTCTGAATGTCTGTGTCCCCCAGATTCGTATGTGGAAGCCCTAACCCCCCATGCGATGGGGCCTCGGGGAACTAATGAGGCCACGAAGGTGGGGCCCTCGCGATGGGGCTGTGCCCTTGGTGGGGGGGGAAGAGCGGAGAGAAAGCACCTCTGTCCACCAAGTGAGGACATGGTGAGAGGCAGCCGTCCGCAAGCCAGGAACAAGCTGTCCCTAGAACCCAGTCATGCCCACACCCGGGTCTTGGACTTCCAGACCCCACAACTACGAGAAATCAGTGTTTGTTGTTTAAGCCACCCATTTGATGGGATTTTGTTATCCTAATCTGAGCAGGCTAAAACAGAGATTAGGAAACATTTAATCCCAGAACAGCATGGGTAACTGTGGTGGGGCAGACCAGCCAGGCCCTCCCGCATGGGAGCCCTACCTACATTTTCTTCCCTTCCTGAGCCCTGTGCTCCAGCCATAACCAGCTACGGAAGTTTCCAGAACCTGGGAAGGCTTTATCTGGGGCGCAGTGTGTCTGCTCCTACTGTTCCCTCAGCCTGATGCCCTTCCCTTCATTGGCCCCTGGGAATGCTTCCGCATCTGTCAAGACTTAGGTTGGGCAGCACTGTCTTGGAAAGCCTCCCGTGACCTCTGGGGTGTATCTGGGGTCTCCCCAGAGGGCAGTGGTCAGTCTTGCTGTCTTTGTCTTTTTGCTGGTCGGTCTCCCCAGCCCGACGGGGGCCGGCATTAGCTCCCATGCCCCTCTCTACCACTGGAGTGTGGTGCTGGCTGGGACGTGCCCCTGAATTGCTGCCTCCCGAGAGAGGGGCATCCTATGGCATCCCCATGCAGGTGAGGGTCCCGCCCCTAGCAGCACCCCCCTGCCCTGGGCACCGTCCAGTGCCGCTGCTTTCCGTGGACACTCTCCCCAGGCGCCATCAGCAGAAGGGGGCCCGTGCGCTGAGAAATGACACACGTCGATGAGAAGTGGCTTTCACCTTCACAAGTTAGGATACACCGTCCTTTATTTTTCCAGGCTCCCCTGGGAGCTGACAGGACATTGCTCTAATGAAAAAGCCAGGGGTTTCCAGTTGCTCGGGGCTCAGATTGCTAAAGGGAAGGAAGTGCATTAGGTGCGAGAAACACGCCTCCCTGGCCGAGCCGGGCTGGTCGGAAGCCGGTGCGCAACAGGGTACGTGGTGGGGCTGGAAGGATCTGAGTCACGCTGACTCACAGACGGGACGGCCAGGACACACAGAAAGACACAGCTCCACAGAAGACAGGGGAACAGACTTTGGTGACACCTTCCCAGTGATTCATAAACCTCTCAACCCACATTACAAGCTTCCTGGGACAGGCACCAGCCCTACCCGCACCAGACACGGACACCTTTCAGCAGGGGGCCTGGCCGGCCTTCTGCTGCAGGACCCTGTGCTGACCTTGCAGGCCAGAAGAGGGTGGCGTCTCCCTCCTCCTTCCCCAGTGGCCAGGTGCCTGTCTCAGGACCACACACTCATGCGGAAGGCTTCTGCCCAGGGGGCTACGTTCCACCGTGAGAAAGATGGGCACAGCAAGGGCTACGTTGGGTATTAGGCTGGATGCATGGAAATCCTCTATTCCGGGGCTTTGGCCATCAGAAGAGGATGTTCTCTCTCCAAGATGTGGAGAATAACAGCGAGGCAGACTGTGGTGGCTACACTTCACGCATACTTATAAACAGCATTACGTGGGCGTTACGTGGGCGTTACGTGGGCATTACGTGGGCGAGGGCTGCCCTTAAGGGCACCCGGGTGACAGGTGAAAAAGAAAAAAAAAAAACAAAACAACGGAAAGAAAACCGACAAGGAGCCCTAGGTGTTAGGAACACACCAAGAAGCGAAAACACACAGATCCGAACAGTGGAGAATAAGGCTGGAGGCGCTCCCCTTCCGCGGGACCATAAAATGGAACTCTATATATGTCGTCTTATGTTTAAGTAGGCTATGCTCTTTAATAAAATAAAAACTTCTGTGTTACTTTAAAGATATCATTTAGGCATCTAGGGGATGATTTGGAAGAAAAATGCAGTGCACGGAGGGCCCTGGCCGAAGGTACCCTGTCAGGCTGACGTTTGTCCCTAAAAACAGACTCGTCACAAGCGGATGCAAAAATCATGCACCCCGCGCTTGACTTCATGCAGTCCCGGGTGCTCTGCGGCACTCTCCCTGGCCTGGCCTGTCCGGGTGCAAGGCTGTGCCTCCCCAGGGCTGAGCAAGTTGGGGGGTGAGCAGCCACTGGGAGCCAGGTGCCCACCCACCCATGATTGTGTCAGCATCTGTCATTGACAAACCTCCTCCCATCCCGAGTCCCAGGCACCTCTGTGCCCCCAGGGCCTAGTGCGGGGGGGTGGGGAGGTCGGGGCACTGCACAGGGGTCGGGAAGCTGGGCTGCACGTCGCGTAAGTGTTCCTTGATCTCCTGGGACAGCTACTTTGCAACATCTCCCTGATGCCAAGCAACAGCGGGGAAGGAACAGCGCAAAGCAAGGCTTCTGGGCTCTGAACCAGGGGCAGGAGCGTTGCTGGCGGAAACAGAGGTCGCATCTGCTCTGGGACCTCCTCCTGCCCCCGCCTCCAGCCCAGCCCTCTCCAGGGGCCCACCGCCCGCCCCCCACGGACACAGGGAAGCCAGAGCCAGGTGCAGTAGGAGGGGTTTTCGTGGTTCTCTCCAGGTGTCCCGGGCTCTGCCGCCGGTGCACACGGTCATACAGCCTGGCGGCCGTCAAAACAACAGGGCTTTCTTCTTGAGGTCATTCCTTTTCCAGAGGGCCAGGCGGTCAAACTCTTCCATGCTCATCCCAAACACTTCCTGGAAATCCTCGGGCGACAGGTGCCTCTGCAAACAAACAGGGAAAGCCAGAGAGGAGCAGTTAGCAATGCTGTAACCCGCGCGGCAGGGCCAGCTCCGTGCTGCTGGGTGGTCCAGAGGCGGGCTCGGCGTCCAGGAGGCCGCGGGCTCCCCCTGCGCGCCCTCTGCATCCCTGCTGTTCCCACGCTGCAGCGCACGGCACCGAACAAAGAGACTCGGCTAGGGGCCCGACCGAACAGGACTCAAGCAGGTACGTGCGCCCATGTTCAGGGCAGCATTGTTCCCGGTGGCCAAAACACAGACACAACCCAGCTGCCTAAGCGGGGTCCGTGCACACAGTGGAGTGTCGTCCGGCCACGAGAAGCAGCGAAGCCCTGACGCACACAGTGACTCAGATAAGGCGTGCGACAGGAGGGCCAGTGAAGGAGCCTGGACGCAAAGGGCCCACAGCGTGTGGTTCTGTTTCTGCGAAGCATCCAGAAGAGGCGAGTCCACAGGGACCGAGAACGGAGAACGGCTGTCAGAGGCTGGGGACGGACGGGGGTGGGGAATGACTGCTCAACGGGACAGCATTTCCTTTCGGGGGCATGGGAATGTTCCGGAACTCGATCGAGGAGGTGGTTGCACCACGTGGGAATGTGCTGAAGGCCACTGGTTTCTAGACTGTAAAGTGGCTAACAGGGTGAATTTTATGGGAATTTTACAATTAAAGGAAACAATTCTTGCCCCCCTCCCCCAATGTGGTTTCCTTGACTTTAAAACAAAACTACTCATACTAAAACTTGTGATGGTCCGGAGAGAAACAGAGGTGAAGACATTTGGTGAACTATGAAAAGCATAGACACCCGTCATTACTGTTCATGCCTTCACAAAAATCCCCAAATCTGCGTGGCAGGCAGTGGGTTTTGGAGCCCAGTTGTTGGCATGATCTGGAGGAGGGAACACAGGACACCCCTCAGTCTTGTGTGAGTCACCAAAGGCCCTCCTGGTTGAATCTGGGCCCAGAGTACTCAACATGTGCATGCGCATGCGCACCCACGCGTGCACACACACACCCACGGACACACCCACCCACGCGTGCACACACCCACCCACGGGTGCACACACACGGACACACACACACGGACACGGACACACACACCCACGCATGCACACACACACCCACGTGTGCGCACACACACACGCGTGCACACACACACCCACTTGTGCACACACACGGACACACACGGACACACAGACGCAGACACCCCATCAAGTGAGTCTCTGCCAGGAGGGGGCCGGCCTCCGCTGCTATCCTGAGCTTGCACGCAGGACGAGAACCCGGCACTCGCCAGAAGTGAACCCTCTGCACGGCGTGGATGCGGGTGTGCTGGGGAGTCCACGGCCAGTCCACAGAGACATGGAATTGTCATTGGACAACATCACCCCTTTTCCAGGCACTAAATCACAACTTCCCAATCACTGTGGGGCAATCGAGAGGTGAAGAAGGGAGGGTAAGAGGAAAACTGTTTCCAGTGCTCTCAGCGCTGACTGGCGGCCTGGCCAGGGACATGGGCCCCTGGGGGAGTGGACGGACGTGCAGCGGATCCAGGGACCATCCAGAGCCCGAAGCTGGCGCGGGGGCAGGCGTCCCCCTTCTCCATGCTATCCTCAGTGGACAGTGGTCCTGCAGAGCAGGCAGGGATCCCCACGCTGAGCTGTTTGAGGGGGTAGCCAGGCTGGGGATACGCGGAGGGAGACGAGGCAAGAGGCATGGTGCCCAGCGGTGGCGAGGACGGTGCCGAGGGGTGACTGTGCGCTCAAGCCTGGGAGCCCCCCCAGCCAGGGCAAGGGGGACAGTGGCAGCCGGGAGGACTGCCGGGGGAGCCCAGGGGTACTTGCGGAGCCACAGAGCCCTGTCACTGTGGGTCCCACGCAGCTCACCTGCACCCTCGGGACCAAGATGCCCTGGGAACTTTGTCGGAGAGCTGCACAGAGCCCAGGTCCCGTGGCCACAGAAACGCGCACCCTCAGGACTTGTACCCTGGGGACACACGGTGGCAGGAGAGAGGCAGGCAGACCAGAGGGTGGGGAGAGCTGGTGTGGAGCTTGTCCCCAGTGCCTGAACACAGCCAGGCTGCGAGAGGCGGCTGACACATCCTTGGGTAGGAGGCCCGACCGGGCCCTCAAAGAGATCCAAGGCTGCTTCCCTCCTTTTTGGCTCCTTGTGGGGGTTACAGAGCTCCACCTGGGGCTGGGATGTGGGGAGCCTGAGGTGGGTGTTCTTAACCCTGATGATGCGGTCCTGCGTCCAGGAGCCCACTGCAGGGCAGGGAAGACAGGGTGGGATTAGGAGAGAGCGGGGAGGATGCTACCTGGGGTCCCAGCTGAGTTCCCAGCCCCACAGGCCTTGGCAATAACCCGGGGCGCTTGTCAGAGCTGACGATCTGGGCCCACGGAAACCTACCACGGTAGGCTTAGTGGCCCAGGCCTCCCACAGCCGGTGATGGTAGCTGGGTTTGTTTGGGAATGCTGGGGTAAGGGGAAGTCCCAGAGGCTAGCAGGGCCCCCATCCTCATCTGCAGAGCGAGAACAGAATTTGGCTGTCTGAGGACTCTGGAGGGCCAGGCAAGGGCCAGATGAGGAATGCCCAGCAGGGTATCTGTTCACCACCCCCTGGCCCCAACCCAGCTCTAGCTGTGTGGTCCTAAGTGTTGGAGCTTGCCCCGCTGAGTCTCCACTACCACCTAGGTGAGGAGGAGCTGAGTTCAAATTGACTTTCAAGATAAACTCGCTCAGGTCATGTAGTAGACTCAGGCGCCCTCCTTCACCCTGTAGCAGGCGGGACACGTGGGACACAGCTCCCCCCAGTGGCTGGAGCCAGCTTTCTGACCCCGGGCCTACTCCCCAGGCCCTGGCTCCTGAAGGCTCTCTGGGAGGCAGGGCGGCCCGACCCCCAGGTGCCCGCCAAGGTCAGGCATGGCCAAGCTCCTTCCTGAGTGAACAGGGAGGAAGCCCAGGGTGTGCCGCCTTTGTAGAGGGGTGGCTTGGCCTCATTCTGGCACAGCCTCACTCCTGGGGTGCCCTGGGCTCCCCAAGATGTGCCCCTGGGGAGGAGGCCATTTCTGCAACATGGCAGGGGCCCTGCATGCTTTGCCGGGGGTCTGCTGACATACGACCCTCCAGGGCAGCATCGTGCAAAGACCTCCAGCCCAGGAGCCAGATCCCCCAGGATTCCGGTCCCGGCTCCATCCCGGTCCAGCTGCACCGCATGACCTGACCTCAGTTACGATTCTGGGAAATGGGAATAAGCACGGCTGTGCCTTCATCCGCTCTTCCACCCTTGGAACGTCAGTCCCTCCCGCTCACTGCTCAGACCTGGCCGTGGAACTCGGCTCGTCCGGGAAGCCTCTCCTGACTGCACCCTCACCGCAGGCTCCCAGAGCCCCCCGGCCTCTTTCTCACACCACCCCCCGTTTCAAGCTGCCAACACGATGTCACCGAGGGCGGAGTTGGACAGAGAGGCCCAGTAGCACAAGCCCCAGGACGTTTCTCCTTACAGGTGTGGTCGGTGTCAGCAACCTCGAGAGCGCGGAGGGTAGTAACTGTGGTGAAGGAGTTAGGCAGGGCTGACTCTTGAGTAGTTAGTACCTTTGCTTTAACTCTAATTTATGTCACTGCAGGTTTACTCCGTTTTCAGTCATGGCAGGCTGCAACAAGCAGCATGCAGAACTCCTGAAAACCTAACAGTAGGAGCAAGCCCACTGCCGCTGAGGGGCCTGAGGTGTGGTTCCCGAGGTAATGGGCACCCCGGGCAGGGACGGGGACCCCCACGCCTGTGCCCCAGAACCAATGTGGGGCGCTCGCAGGCTGAGCTCTGCACCTGCTCTCCGCCTCTATTCACGGGGCCGGGGGCGGGGGTGGTCCGGGACACAGGACTAAATCTGACCGGGCCGCCCTCACCCCACAGAGATCTCACTCAGAGGGGGAGGCAGCTCAGAAAGCAGTTCGGTCCCTGTGAGGGCTGCGGGACCAGCGACGACCCAGGAGGGCCTTGTCGAGGGGACACTCGTGACCCAGAAGTCTCGCTGCCTTATAAAGCGTTAATGATCTTTCTGCCAGCATCTTGCGGCCAGAAGGGTGTTTTCCAGGGGAAGTGAACCTCTGACTTCAGTCTGTGACCTGGACCCCTCGGTGGAGGCTTCCTGAGCGTGGGACTCATAAGGACTGACCCCCTGCTCGCAGCAGGAGCTCATGGGAGGTGCTGCTCCTAGCCACCGACCCGCACACACCTTCACACAGAGCGGAGGACAGTGAGTGGTCAGTGTGTGAGGCACAGGGCACTCCCACACTCACCTCCTTTCTGCAAGGCGGCAGACCCAGCTGCAGACGGGGGACGCCCCAGTGTAATGCAGCCCGCAAAGGGCACGTCAGAACCCCGAACTCCTCCTGGGGTTCAGCACCACCCCAGGAACCACAGCCTGCTGCATGCACCTGCAGTGCTCCCAGACTCCTGTGCGGCTCAGCCAGGCAGGTGCCCAGAGCTTCCCTTGGAAGAAGGGCCCAACTCGGGCCTGCCGGCCCCAAGGACTGGCCATCCATGCTATCCTTTTGGTGGCAGAAATCCCCAACTTTTTCTGGGTCACGTTGGTGAAGCGGCCCATCCCGGTAGAAAAACACATCACTCATACAGTCTTGGTGTCTAGTGTCAGGGAGCTCCATGGACACTGTGAGGCCCATGTCGGGACCCCAGTTAGGGAGGCAAACCTCACAATTCTCCTGCACTGACTGAGGACCACGGGCCAGGCTGGGGTGAGAGCCTTCACGGCATCTGCCGCCATCCGCACATGCTGGGATTCTCCTCATTTTATGGCCCCAGGAAACCTGGCTCAGAGAGGCCATGGGCCTCGCCCAAGGTCACACATCCAGGAAGCCACAGGGCTGGACCTGGGAGCCTGGAGCCAGGCCCAGGGGCTGGAAAGCACCCCTGGGGCTAGGCAGCCTCTGCCCCAGCAGGGCTGGGCTACCCTGCCGGGACCAGCTTGCCC